ATTGCTCAAAAATTTATTAATAATTTTAAAAAACTTTTATAATAAAAGTTATAAAATATATTTTCAAAAATATATTCTATAATAAATATATATTCCATATTATTAATAAATTATTATTTATATATTTAAAATCTCCGAGATTATACAATGTTCACAACTTGCATATTTCGTGTAATAATGCTGCAGATCATGTACGCCAATCAGAATATAATCATATGCATCAATTATCTATAAAATATAGCCTCAATGAGATTTTATATAACTAATAACAGCATATTCGCATAACAGAGTTATCCAGAAAGACATCTAAAAGTTTCATAACAATTACTATATAAAAAAAAAAACAAAATCTTAAATACGATCATGCTATCAAGTTACTAATATACAGCAATATGTGCTACTAACTAATGGATGAAATGCACTACTTGAATATATACCAGGTTTGTGGCACAGCAAATTTGGTTATGTTAGGGTTAGGGTTAGGGTCGGTAGTTTCTTATGCTGATTTTTGAAAATAAACAATTTTTGATGAAACAAATATTTAAATTTTTTGATCGTATTACATTATACTTGATTTTGAAATCTGATTTGTAGTTCAAGAAATCTGTATTACAAACTTGGCACACATTCAAGTAATGCAGATGAAATATAAGTAATGTCATAGTACATTTAAAGTAATTATGTGTAATATATTTGTATACAATGTTAGATAAAGGTAGATATTATTAGAGGTGACACATATTTTAATTTGATGTATGTACAATATTTATATCTTACTATATAGCCTGTTACCTTACGACAAGCTCTAATACTATATCTAATAAATTCTTATTATATATGCTATATAGTAAAATCTATTCTATTTATAATTTAACAATAGCCTGTCAGCGTAAACAAAAGATTACATACTAGTTTTATTTAAAAAATACTAAATACAATTACTATATATTCCTGAAAATAAGCTATCTTTTTTTTGACAATTTTAAACTCAAAAAATCAAAAGTAATTTATTTTCATGATATAGGAGTTTTAAGCAATTTTATGCTCAACACTGAGATAGCTTATTATCAGGTGTTAAGAAAAAATTCTCACAAATATCTGATTTTAATAAACTAAGCATGATTTAAACAAGTTTTGAATATACATATATTGATTACTAATGGGTTTACTAATTTCTCCCTATAGTTCCTATTGGATGAAGAAAAATCATATTTTTCGATCAACTAATAGAAGTATCATTGAAACAGTATAAAAGTATAATAGCAAACAGTGGTTTTGTAACCAAAATTTTAAGTTACTGGCGATTTTTAAAAACTTTGTCTGGCATTTACAAATGTCCAATCAGAACTGTAGAGAGAAATTAGGGATCCTGGATTTGAGCACTATAAGCAGTATATATGGGTCAATTTTTACAATATACTTTTCAAACTTATCTAATTTTGGTTAAATTTGCTGATTATTTGGCCTTGGCTTATCAGTTTTAAACGATCAAGATAAAATCATAACTGGGATAAAATTGCCATCCAAAAAAGTTTTGAACATCATGTATCAAATATATCGAGCACCAAAAATTTATTTAACTTGGACTATAAACTAACAAAATAATAACAATAAGCAATAAATTAATCAATTTATTTATTTCGAATAGACTCAATAAACGTACTATTTATTACAGACAGAAAGTATTATGGTTACGGCTTTTCTAAGTATTCCATTGCCTTTCAAATAATTATAATTCTCCAATTTATGCAATGTCTCAAAGTTTTTATTAATACTATCAGGCTATTTGTTATTATTTGAATTTATATATTTTTTTTAATAGTTTTTTTTTGTTGCATCCTGAATTTAGAATTACAAAACTTCTTTGTCCAAATAAATAATCAGTTATAATTATCCAGAAAAGTATTAAAAATAAAATCTACAAGGTTTTCTGGCACAATTGCAATTTTTTTTGATTAGTTTTTATAATTTTATTTAAATTTTCTTTCTTTTTTTGATTGTTATTTGTGAAAATTTGGTTATAGCAATCAATGTATATTTTTAAAATATTGAGTTTATTAGATTTTATATCTTTAATCACTTGGTTTGTTGAGATTGCAATGACCACTTTTCATTTTGAAGAATCAAAGAAAAAAAAAATCACTTATTAAATCAATTAATATTTTACTAAATATTATTAAATTATGATAAATTGTCAATATTATGTCATATGATTTTCAAAACTTTTTTGGTTGGTGATTTTACCTCACCAACCAAAAAAGGTTTAAAAATCATGTGATATAATATTGACAATTCATTGTGATTTAATAATAATAATATTTAGTAAAATATTAATTGATTTAGTAAGCGATTTTTTTTTCTTCGATTCTTCAAAATAAAAAGTGATAGTTGCAATCTTGACAAACCAAGTAGTTTTTTTAAAAGCATAAAATCTAATAAACTCAGCATTTTAAAAATATACATTGATTGCCATAACCAAATTTTCACTAATAACAATCGAAAAAAGAAAGAAAAATTATAAAAACTAATCAAAAAAAATGCAATTGTGCCAGAAAACCTTGTAGATTTTATTTTTAATGCTCTTCTGGATGATTATAACTGATTATTTATTTGGACAAAGAAGTTTTGTAATTCTGAATTCAGAATACAGCAAAAAAAAACTATTAAAGAAAGTATATAAATTTAAATAATAACAAATGGCCCAATAGTATTAATAAAAACTTTGAGATATTGCATAAATTAGAGGATTATAATCATTTTAAAAGACAATAGAATGTTTAGAAAAGCTGTAACCATAATACTTTCTGTCTGTAGTAAATAGTACATTTATTGAGTCTATTCAAAATAAATAAATTGATTAATTTATTGCTTATTGTGATTATTTTGTTAGTTTATAGTCCAAGTTAAATGAATTTTTAGTGCTCGATATATTTGGCACGTGATATTTAAAACTTTTTTGGGTGGCGATTTTACCCGGTCGGTTTTGCCGGGGTGAGGTAGTTTATTTTTTAAATTAAAAATTTTATTATTTTTTGATTTGAAATAGCGAGGTAGCTTATTTTCTGGATATAAACATTTTTAAGTTTTTTGTCTAAAAGTTAAGAGGCAGCTTATTTTCAAGATATAAACATTTTTAAGTTTTTGGTCTAAAAGTAAAGGGTAGCTTATTTTCAAAGTAGCTTATTTTCGGGAATCTATGGTAAATTTTCCAGGCAAATTTGTCTGGAATATGGTTTAAGAGATAGTCCAAGTCGAAAATTCTACCACACTACCTGCTAAATGGTTTATTTTTAATATAGATAAATTTTCTATTTTTTATAACCAACTTGCTAATCATATTAGTAATAAGTATACCAGTACTAATAATAATAACATTGATAAAGATAATATTAAAATTACTTATAAAGTAAATAGCCATGGTCAAGAAATGGCATTAGAGGATAAAAATGATTATGATACTTTTATAAATGAAAACCAAAAATTAAAAAAATTAACTAAAAATATGGTTCTGTATGTTATGCTAAAATCTGATATAAAAAAAAGAAAAAAAAGACTAAGGTATGATATTAATATGTTGAATTATAAATTAGAAAAATAAAATAAGATTCTCTGATTTTAACTTTGAAACCTTCTAATATTTATAGAGTTCATTGATAATTAACATCGAAGATTCTGATTCTGATAAAGAAAAACCCAAAACTAAAAAAGCAAAAAAGGTAATCGTTTGCCAAAAGAAGAAAGACTGTCATCTAATGAAGTCGAACTTGCTAATATCATCACCCAACTTTGCTCCAAGTATCAGTGCAGTGTCTACAGTACTCCATGCTATATAGAGGATAGTCAATACCTCTTTCTTAATCTTGCTTATCTTCATTTGTAGTCTTGAGATATAGTATGATTATAAATTACAGTAATTCTAAAATATATGTGATATTATTAAAATAGCATTTTAAGTAATAGTAAAATCGTACTGATCATTTTATTTAGAAGATGAAAATTATCGATTTAGACACACCACCCACATATCTGTCGTTTGGACTAACTCAAGCCCTTAAATCTAATATACAAATATTGTAATTACAATTACAGTCTACTGCTATAGAAGATATATTAGATAATTTTGTTTCAGCTCTTCAAGAATGCCTTGACAATCTTACAAATGTTTTGAATTTGGATAGGAGTCAATAATACAATTTGCTAATACTGTATAATTGGTGCTAAGTCTTATATTATAAGTGTCACTAAAAGAAAACCCAAAAATTTAAATATAAATTATATTTAAATTTTTGGGGTTTTTTTAGCAATACTTATATAATGAATTTATATTATATTATATACGTATTATAGAATAAATTTTGATATATTACAAGTGAAAATGGGGCCTTACTTATGTCAATTCTTATACTTCGATTATTATAATAAGTGCTCTATACTTGCCTACAAATTATCATGAATAAAATTAATAGCTACTCGATACATGAAGCAATTTTACTGACCCAAATTTAAATTTCCTTATTTGAAGATCTGCTAAAGTAGGGCAAGTTTAAAAATTTGTATAATTTAACTAAATATTGGGATTATGGCCATTTTGAAGTAATATTAAAGAGAACATATATGTAAATAGCCTATTTGATATTTTTTATTAATGCACTAAAGTAGATTTTAACTACTGTTTCTTGTATTTTTCATATTTTTCATATTTTATCACTTGTTTTGTTTTGTCAGACTAATTTGAGACAAGTAATTTGACCCATTGTTACTAAGTAGAGCCAAGATTAAATCAGCGATAGGTATATTAATTAAGAAATAGGGTTATTTATATAGAAATAGGTCAGATATAGAATGATTATTAAGGGATGATTTAATAAAGTTTAGTTTAATTAATTATAACAAGTTTAACAATAATATGGGTACTTTAAGGAACTTTTAAATAATTTTAATGATCACCAATGATAGTTAACTGGTATCATTACAGAATACATTTAAATAATGTTAAATAAGAGATTCAATAGGACCGTAAAGGTGTATTTATGATAAATGATTAAAAATAATGCTGTGAAGATGTATTCACTATAATTTAACAAGATAACAAGGTGATAATAGTGAGAATTTGATAGTTTTATAAATGTAAAATTTCAAGTATATAAGAAATCGAAGTCTGAAAAACTTTATTAAAAGTCTTTAAATACATTATTTAGTATATATAAATTAATACACTACTCAATTATCAGGCTATCTTTTTCTCTGTTATTTATCTTACACATTCTATAAACCCTTCCATCTATCTTTCTCTATAACAAGTTTGTTTTCCTGTTAAACACCTTCTTCAATAACACCTACTATACAACATTCTGATATTAAGTAAATGCCTTTTATTCTTAGATATCATTAACTTTCTCAGGCAACCAATTTCCTATTACTAAGTTTGGTAATTTATTTAATACCACGCACATTTACTGGAACTAATAAATTAATGGTAGAACTCAACCCAAGAAAAGATTTAACCTTATTGATGATTTTGCTATCGAACAAGTTTGCATCTATAAGCTATATATCAATGACTAAATATGATGCTACATATTATATAAAGTACAAAATAGAAAATGGATAATTAATAAAATAATACCAAAATAAGAAGAAAAGAAAAAAAATATGATTAGCAATGTAGAAGACCCATGATGGTAATTTTATAAATATATATATAGCAAAATACATATTAAAGTTGCATGCCTCAATTATCATATAATTTTATTCAAAATCATATAATAAATCTATTCAAAATAAACTGATCTCCTAAAACAATCTGCTGCTATTTCAGAAGTTATTTGAGCATATGTGACCATAAGCACATAAAATGGATCTGATGTGGCATTTATGAATTTTCGATTTTGACAGATCTAGTTTTTAATAATACTGAAAGCTGTTTCTATGAGATTGTAATCGGGCAAATATGGTGGCAAAAAGACAATGTAATAACCAAGCTCCTCTATAGTATTAATAAGAAATTTATTATGATGAATCCTTGTATTATCAAAAATGATAACGCCTTTTTCACTGAGAAAAGGATTCATACAAGGAATCTATTGTTAAGTAGATTTATTATTTTATTTATTAACAAAAAACAATTTAAATAAAGATAAATTTAATTAACTTACAACTGGAGATAAAATGAATTCACAGAACTAATCTTTATTGCAACTATTTTCTAAAATTTTAACTGCCAGAAACCTTCTAACAAGAGACAGGCAAAATTGTATACCTTTTTCTACAAATAAAAACTATATTTTTGCGTGCACAAGTATTTATAGATGTATAACCATAATGTCTATTTAAAGTACGCTCGTCTTTGGCAGATTCATCTATAAAAATCAATTGGGCAAGATGATAATTTGCTCCAATATGAGCAAGAAAAACACTTCTGAGAAGCTTATTTCTTTTCAATGCTATCTTTTGTAGCTAATTAAAAATTAATTAGTTTAAAAAATTAGATTTAACAGTAAAGAGAAAACCTGTTATCAGGCTTTCAATTTTAATTTTAGCTACCTTCTTACAAGAAATACTACAATATTTCAATAATCGCTACAAAGATAATATGGAAAATCGCTTGTTTGTACATATTTTCATTTCTATTAGGAGTTCGTCAAGATACCAATCTACCTTTTTATAACAAGCCACTTTAACATCCTTAATTCCTGATGTATAAGTTTTTTTTTTACGGCCAGGTTGGCCTTTAAAGAGATTTTTGACATATCTCCATTTTCTAAAGATAAATAGTATCTGATAAACAGAAGCTTCGCTTATATAAAAGATCGTGGAAATAGCTTTTTTACTATAATCTTCTGTGTCTAAGTAGACGACTCTCCATCAAAGATCTTCACTAAGTTCTCGTGGTATACTGGTTTTAGATAAATTTTTATAAACTTGAAATACAGATTTATAGTAAGTAAGATATGCTTTTGAGTTTTAGTTTCAG